AATTAACAGCTGAACAATCCCTTTCTATATCCGTGTGTTATCAGCTGAATCCCATTGTCATTCATCACATTAAATCCCTGTGCTCTCGTTTATCTGTAGAGATGAAGGACAGATGAAGATCTCTATATATAGACTCGGTGAGAGAGGTAAAGGGCAGGTCGTAGACAGAAGAATGGATTGAAACGAGCTGGAGAGGTTAATAGACTGACAAGAGGATTGTAGTGATGGTCACCGTGTGACCTTTGACCTTCCATCTCAGGAATACATCCAGCAGGAGTCATTTTTGAGGATGCAAAGCAGAATTTCTGTGCTCTTTTGATGTAAGCGTGCTCGATCTGATTTGAATAATCGCTCTTTCATTTGCATTTTCTGTCACTGTTATAGTAGGTGTTGTGTTTTATTCAGTGTCTCTGTGATTTCACCTGCTGCGGTTCTACGGTCGGCGGTGAACGCTTTAAGCGACAGCTTAAAATCCAGCCGCATGATTAGTGGCACCTTGTAAAGGGCGTCTTTGTAAAGCACGGTCAGTAATTGCTGCAGATGGCGGCTGTTAACAGCACTGCAGCAGAAAGCCTGTCAATCAATAGCAGTGCATCTGCTCGACTCCTAACGTTACCATTCAATAAACTCCTGACATCAGACTGCAGTGCAAAAAAATGAATTTCTTACTCAGTATTTTTGTATTGTTTTCCAGTACAGATATCTAACAATCAAGAGAAGCCGAAAGACTTAAAGGGTTAGTTCATCCAAAAATGAAAATTAGCCTGTGTTTTACTCACCCTCGAGGCATCCTAGGTGTATATGACTTTCTTCTTTCAGACGAATCCAGTTGGAGTTATATTAAAAATTATCCTGGCTCTTCCAAGCGTTATCATTGCAGTAGGCGGGTGTTTCTGTTTAACAGTCCAAAACACGTTAAATAAAGCGCGTGCATCCATAATAAAACGTGCCTCACATGACTCCGGGGCGTGAATAAAGGTCCCCTGTAGCGAATCCATGCATGTTTGTAAGAAAAATATCCATATTTCAAACGTAATAAACACTTTTCTGTCACTTCTGCTGACTGTCGTATGCGGAAGCGTTCCAGCGGATGATGCAGGACGTATGCGTCGCGCGCGCGCCTCTGAGATATGCTAGTGTCGCGAGTTTGTTAACAGGAGCAAAGGAAGCAAAGTTTCCTTACTTTAGCAAAGGAAAACCAGTCTCCTCTTGGATTATATCGAAATCCTCCAACATTCTTCTTTACAAATCCTCGTTTTGTGCTTGTAATTCGTGACTGGCGTTTTGTTACGTTCTCTCTCCGTGTTCGTCACTGATCACGTCCTACGTCATCCGCTGGAACGGCTTCCACGTACCACAGTTAGATGAAGTGAGAGAAAAGTGTTTATTACGTTTGAAATAAGGGTATTTTTCTTACAAAAACACATGGATTCGCTACAGGAGGCCTTTATTCATGCCCCGGAGCCATGTGAGGCACGTTTTATTATGGATGCATGTGCTTTATTTGACGTGTTTTGGACTGTTGAACAGAAACACCCACCCACTGCAATGATAACGCTTAGAAGAGCCAGGATAATTTTAATATAAATCCGATTGGATTCGTCTGAAAGAAGAAAGTCATATACACCTAGGATAGGCTAATTTTAATTTTTGGGTGAACTAACCCTTTAAGATTTGAAGACTTGTTTTCTGAAAAATTTATCAAAATGAGTTTATGCTTAAACACAAACGAATATCTGTCAGTGGGGTCAGAAAAATAATATTAATTTAAAAGGAACTTTTTTTTTTTCTTTTCTTTGTTGGCAGATAATTGTTCTTGTTTTAAGTATAAACTCACTTAATTTTGAGATTTTTTCCCCCAGAAAAATAGCAGGAATTGCATTTCAAGTTTTTATTAGTTTTTATTTAAGTGTTGGTCATTTTAGTACATCAAGTTGACTGAATAAACTGAGTAAACTGAATTCATTTTTTAATATTTTCTTTCATTTCATTTCACTTAAGATTTATTTTATTACTAGTAACAAAATATTTTTTAAATGATTTTAGTTTTAGTAACTATAATAATCCTGCTGTCTTGATTATTTGATCAGACTGTCAAATGTTGCAAAATTAAAAGTAAATGTAAATAAATAAATAGATGCAAAATAGCAATATTTATACTACTACAAATGTTTGGGGTATGTAAGATTTTTTAATGTTTTAATGAAAGAAGTCTCTTCTGCTCACAGAGGCTGCATTTATTTGATCACAAAAATAGAGTAAAAATTGTGAAATATTATTGCAATTTAAAATAACTGTTGTCTATTTGAATGTTAAAATGTAATTTATTCCTGTGATCAAAGCTGAATTTTCCAGTCTTCAGTGTCACATGATCTTCAGAAATCATTCTAATATGCCGCTTTGCTGCTCAAGAAACATTTCTGATTATTATCAATGTTGAAAACAGTTGTGCCGCCCAATATTTTTGTGGAAACTGTGATACATTTTATTTTTCAGGATTCACAGATGAATAGAAAAATCAAAAGAACAGCGTTTATTTGAAATAGAAATTTTTTTAACATTATAAATGTCTATTCTGGTCTCTTTTGATCAATTTAATGTGTCCTTGCTGAATAAAAGTATAAATTTCTTTCAAAAACTAGGATGATGACTACTCACCATTCACTGAACTAATGGCTGTAAATGATTTTTTTAATAGCAGGCACTATACAGTACACACTAGGCAGTGAGCAGTGCTCTAGTATTGCATTGTAACCGTGATCTCCATAAAACTGAGTCTCGAGCACTTCTCTTATGAATACACCTCCTGAATAACACGTTTATGAAGATCCATTAGCTGAACATATTGAAATCCTGAGGAGTGCAATCCGATCATATGCTTCAGCACATTCAGATGGAAGATACAGACGGATCAAATTACCCAGCGTCCCCTCTGACCAGCTTCCCAAAAATGCTTTCAGCAGGATTTGAGCGATCAGGTTATCCTGGATTAGAGCAGATTAGATTTGATTATGAGATCAGAGGAAATTTACTATGGGATTAGCAGAGTTGATTATCACACACATGTAATGTGCATATACAATGAAAATAACATCTGAACACAGATAAGCACACAGCGGCGAAACGACTTTGTTTCAGTTTTTGAACGTGTAGACCTTTTGCATTTTTTAGAATGAGCAGTTTTTGCCAAATTCTGCAGCGTTTGTGCTTCAGATATGGATGTTTTCTCAAATCTTGTGTCTTGTTCAACCACCAAGATTTTCTTTGGAAAATATTAAAATCTTTTTAGCTTTTATATTTAGGCTTCATAAGATTTTTATTCATGCTTATAAATTATTAAAAATGTAAACAAATGCACTGCAATCTTATAAAACGTGTATCTCTCTCTGCCTGTTGGGGTTTTGCAGCTTGTTGTATACCAGATATGACTGTATCTTTCTCTTTCCATATATAAGTGCATCTCATAAAAACATATCAGTCATAAGTCAGTCATATTTTTCCCCAAAACCTGAATAATATTTGTTTTTATTTTGCAGAAATATTTTTATTTTTGCATAAAGAACCATAAAAGTATAATGGATTGCAGCATTATTTTATTGACATTAAAATTTTATGGTTTTTTTTAAATATAAAAATCACTTTTTATTTATTTATGGAATTTAAGAGAAAATGTGTTTATGGTTATATATTTATATATTAAATACTTTTTATCTTATCTTTTATTGTATTTTTTACAGAATTTTTTAGGGGAAAATGTGTTTAATTTTCATTAGAATAATTTTCATTAGATTGTCTCTTAATACTGTAATATGTTTCAAGTAGCAAGAATTTCAAAGAAAGAATAGTTTAATTTCCATAAAAATAAGGTCATAATTCTAAAAATAGTTCAAAAAGTACGCTTCATTTTCTTTGGAAAAAAAAAGGAAAAAAAGAAAAATTAATTATTTTCATTAGATTATCATTATTATAATATTATATTAATAAAATATAATAATAATAATAAAATAATTTATATAATATTATATAAATATAAT